CGTTTGACTTTCAGGATGGCATTTTGTTATAAAAATTAATAAATGCCACCTCTGACTTTTGGGGTAGCATTTTAATATAAAAATTAATAAAATTAATTTTTTTATTAATAAATGCCACATCCGACTTTCAGGACAGCATTTTATTATTAAAAATTAATAAAAATTAATTTTTTAATAATAAATGCTACGTCTAACTTTCAAAGCGGCATTTTATTATTAAAATTTAAATTTTTTTAATAATAAATGTCGCGTCTGACTTTTGGGATGGCATTTTGTTATAAAAATTAATAAATGTCACCTCTGATTTTCAGAGCGACATTTTAATATTAAAAATTAATAAAAATTAATATTTTTATTAATAAATGACACGTCTGACTTTTGGGCGGCATTTTATTATTAAACATTAATTTTTTAATAATAAATGCAATGTCTGACTTTCGGGGTGACATTTTGTTATTAAAAATTAATAAAAAGTTAATTTTTTAATAATAAATGCCACGTCTGACTTTCAGGGTAGTATTTCAATATAAAAAATTAATAAAAATTAATTTTTTTATTAAAAAATGCCACATCTGACTTTTAGGGCAGAATTTTATTATTAAACATTAATTTTTTTAATAATAAATGCCGCCTCTGACTTTTAGGATGGCATTTTGTTATTAAAAATTAATTTTTATTAATTTTTTATTAATAAATGCCTTGTCTGACTTTCAGGGCGGCATTTTAATATAAAAAATTAATAAAAATTAATTTTTTTATTAATACATATCACATCTGACTTTCAGGGCAGTATTTTATTATTAAATATTAATTTTTTTAATAATAAATGCCGCCTCTGACTTTTGGGACGGCATTTTGTTATAAAAATTAATTTTTTTATCAATAAATGCTACATTCAATTTTTTGGGATGGCATTTTATTATTAAAAATTAATTTTTATTAATTTTTTAATAATAAATGCTGTATCAATTTTTGGGCGGCATTTTATTATTAAAAATTAAATTTTTTTAATAATAAATGTCATGTCTGACTTTCAGGATGGCATTTTTTATTTCAAATCCAACTAATCAGATCTGAATTCAAATTTGAATCTGACAGATCGAATCTGAATCCAAATTCAAATCCGACAGATCAAATTTGAATCCAAATTCAAATCCGTCAGATTGAATCAAATCCAAATTTAAATCTGATCCAGATCTGACAGATTGAATCAAATCAAAATCTGGATCTGAATCTAATTCAAATCTGATAAATCCAATTCGATCCAATCCATCAGATTTGAATCAGATTCAGGTTGAATCAGATTTTTTGCGAAATACTAGTTAAGAAAGAGTTTTTTATATATGCAATATTTAATTTATTTAAAAATTGAAATAAATATTTTAATATTTTATTATTAATAAATATTATGTATTTTTTTATTCTCTACATTTTTAATTAATATATAAAACTATATTAATTAGGCTATATTTGCTATTATTTTAAATATTTAGCAAAATTATTAATAATTATAAAATATCACAAGATTATAATATTTAAATAAGACTTATAATATTAAGTAAAGTTATAGATTTAATGATTTTCTACAATATTACTTAGTATAAAAATTATTATTATATCTCAAAATTTTACGTTAAATTAAAATTTAGCTTAAATTCTTAATCTTAGTAAAATTATAAATCATGTGACGATATAATTATGTACTTACGTTTTATATTACATCTTTCAAATTTTGTATTACATTTTTAGTAAAATAATTACAATAATATGTATATTAACAATATAATTTATATTATGTTATAACTTTAATTAAATAAATCATTATATAATTAAGATATATATTGTTATCTGACTATTGATTAAATAAATTGAAATACATAATCAATTGAATAGCAGAAGATTTAACTCAATCTTTATGATAATTTAAAAGAGACTTTAATTATAATTGATTTCAGTTGATTTTAGTATTCTTTTATGACTAAGTTTCTGAATTAGTAAGTATATAAACTTCTAATTCATTATGTGTGACTTGTAATTTTCACTTAATATATTAAAAAATACCTAAATGACATTTTAATAGATATATTATAACCAATAATTGTTTATAATCAAATTAATGATATGCAGCTAAAGTATTTCACAATATTAATACTTAAGCTCGTTAATGACTCTAAACACAATTGATAACACTAAAGGATTTGTTGACACAAGTAAATTAGTGATTTTAAGTACAGTTGACACAAAGTAGAGTTGACATAAAGCAAATTACTTATTAAATGATTAGCAATATAAATTTTTAATAAGAGTTTAATATAATTTCAGCATTTTAGCATTTTGATAAGTAGGTAAATTCTCTAGTTTAAATAAGCAATCCTATATATAATAGCTATAAAATTTTATATATTTTTTATTATTAATTTAATTATTTATTTTTATTAAAATTTAATATATATTATGAAAACATTTATATATCAAATTAATTTTATTATATTTTATAATAGAAAAAAAAGAAAAAAATAGATATTATTATATTTTTGCTTAAAAATGATAAATTTATATATTTTTTTATTATTTAAAATAATATGAATCTATATTTATTATTTTATATAATCTTTAATATTATTTAAAAAAATTTATTATATTTATTAATATGAGATTTTTAAATAAAGTATGACTGTTATATTTTATTTTATAGTAAATATTCTTATATATTACTTTTTAACTAATTAGCAAAGTTTATTATTTTATCTACTAGTAATAATGCTATTCAAAACCTATTTTAATATATAGCTTAAAAATTTAAAACCTTTTTTAAAATTTTTAAAATGATTTTTTCTTAAATTTAAAATTTGATTAAACTTTATTGAACCTATTAGAAATTTAGGTAAAGATGTTATAAATAATTTGTTTAAACTTAAATATCTCAAAATTTAAAATTGCTTAAAAATTGCTTAAAGATGCATTTTATCTAATAGTTTAAACTTAAAACAAATAATTTTTTATTGTAACATTACTAGTTTTTATAATAAACAGAAATATCTTTTAAAATATAAATAAAATCTCTTTATTTTTTAATTTTTAATACTAAATAAGGATAATATTATTTTAATTTATTTATTTAAAAAGTAATTTAGTGTTATTCTTAAAATCTAATTAATTTTATGTAATATCTAATTTATTTCTAATTTATTCAAATAATAAATAACTCATTTTGGTAAAACTCTTGAATACAGAAAATTTTTTTATTTATTATTTTTTTATAAAAAAAATTTTATAAAATTACAAAGTTAATAATTCATTTATTTATTCAGTTTTCTTATTCCATTGAACAGGATCTAAAGGACGTTCTTCAAATAAACCTTCAATTTCTTTTCTTAAATTTGAACAATAATCATCAATTGGTAAATCCTATAAAATATAATAAAAGACAAAGTTGTGAGAATTAAATGATTTAATTTTAATAATGAATTTTCCATAATCACATACGTTAATATCAAAACCAAAAGGATTTTCAATTTCAGTGCCTATCGCATCAACACCAAAGAAAGTAAATGTAGCTATAGCAGTAATAGGAACCGTATACCATCCCAAGTTCTCATATAGTTGTGGTGGCAATGCCATACAATACAATATTATCATTTGCTATGGATAAAAAAAGATAAGAATAAATCGTAATTTATATTATATATAGTATATATAATATATGAATAATTCAATGATTATGTTGCTTACTTTTAAATGAATAGAATAAGCAAGAGGAATTGGAGTGGAGAGTATTCTTTCAAATCCAGTAAGTATTTCGGTCATAGAATGAACTAAAGAAATAATAGTATTAAACGTACTAAGATCCAATCGACCTTGTTTTCTAAACATGCTAATGTAATTATACAACATATGAGTGATATCAACGGGTAAATTATGAATATCAGAATGTTCTCTTAGGATACCACTTATTTTTCTATTTAAAATTGGTTTTTTCTCACTTATAACATTCTCACTTATAACAGCTTCGGAAGAACTGGAATGTTGCAATACTTCCTTCTCTAAAGCAAGCTCATGTTTTTCTTCAAATTTTCGATAAACGTAAGGTATTAAATCTCTTAAATCTAAAAATCCTACACCATGTTCATCACGAAGTCGATGTTTAACAGCTACAGCAAATGCAATAAATAATCGAATTGCTTGCTTAACTTCTTCATTTTCAGGATCATGTTCTTCCCCTATAACTTCATCATCATTTTTTGTTACAGTAAACCAAAGTAATCTAGTAGCATTCCTAATGTTGCCAACTAACCCACCCCATAATTTCCTTCCTTCCCAAAATCTATCATAACTAGTATTAGTTCTCAACCCAATCATACCGGCAATTACCATAGTTAAAATAGGTATAAGCGAACTACTAAGTATTGGTGCTAAACCATTTCCCGCGAATATAACATACCACATTGAATATGCCGAAAACAACGTGACAGGTACAAGTACATTTGGCAATACTGTTCCTCTGTAATGTAGAAAGAGAGTTTCATATGAGCATGTTTCTGTAAACTGTGATAAATAAGTTTTATTGCGCATAGAAGAAGTCGCTGGTACTCTTTTATTAGAATGTTTCATTTCGTAAAAAAAAAATAAGAAAAACAAAAATTAATAAAGTCTCCAAATAGTGAGTCTGTCTATTATATGATGAATTACATCATGTTTCACCAAAAACAACTTAATTATCTTATCGCGTATTCGCGTTTTTCAAATCACTGGACACACAGACGCACAGACACAATATCATTCCTTACATCACATATTGTACAGATATTCAAAGATTTGTTTATTTGATTATGAAATATAATACATACATACATACATACATCACATCTTTCAAAAATTTTGGCAAATATTTATGTTAAGCAAAAATAGATAATCCTACAAAAAAAATCTGAGAGAAATATTAAAAAGCTAAGTGTATCTTAGTTCTCAAATTAGTGATGCTAAATTACAAGTTTTTTAGTTTATTTCCATAAACCATGAAGTGGTTCAGAAGGTAAGACATCTTTCTCTAAATGCAATTCTTCATAGATAACCCGTTCCGCTGATAAAGGTGCAATTTCTTTAATCTCAAAGTCCGCCAATTCCTCAAGTTCCTTTCCAGCTTCTCCCAATTCTCCTGTAATATCTTCCTTTGCGCCAATAAATAATAATTCGGCTCCGTCATAATCCAAGAACTCGGAAGAAAGCAAGGAGATAAATCGTCGACCACGGAATTTATCCAAAAGATGAGAGGGAAAAGTTACTTTTTCATAATCTGGAAGTCCAGCATATGGTGGATTTGTAGTTTCAGGGTTCTTTCAAAAAAGGATTTTTATTTCAATTTCATTAATAATGAGTTAGATATTAATATAAACCATTCGAAAATAAATAATTTTAATCACCTTTACACTGATAACATAGCTTCCTTCTTTTTTAATGTTGAAATCTTTTTGAACTTCACTTGGTTCTTCGGGAAATTCTAACACATATGCCAAGTGTGTGTGTCCTTTGTGTTCAACTATGTTGTACACACCTCTTCCCATGAGTCTACACGAACTTAAAGTCCTTTCACCTCGTGTAGCAGTTTGATATTTTCTTCCAAGAGCGAATTCTTTTAAATCGTCCAAATTTGTAAAGGCTTTATCCTATAAATCAATATATATAAATCATCAAAAGTTGATTATAAATTATTAAAATCAAATAGTTTTATTTTACATGAACACTTACTACGAAAGCCCAGAATTTAGAGTGTTTCTCAACTTCAGGGAGTCTTTTCTTACCAATCGAAATAACACGAGTTTTACCGGGAATAGGTACGTCGGCATCCAATTGCTTGTTATCAATTATTTGATGAATATAGCTTGGGATAGGTTCCTCAGAGATAGATGGTCTCACCATATATGGAATAAGGATCATAAACATTCTTTGAACATCGTCAATGCTATCTGGATTTTCAACATTAATCTAAGGAAGGAATATCACGTGTTACCGAAATTCACGTGATCAGTGCAAAAATTATGCGTATTATTACCTTTGGTCTATAAAGGAAGCAAATATGACCTTTTTCAATAGTATTCGGAGCCATCTTTTTTTCTAATTCTTTTTTCGTTTCAATTTGAACTTGTTTTATGTCATTAGCTTGTTCGCCTTTTGATGGGTCAATGTCTGCTTTTTGACGTTGTGCAGTTTCTTCAACATTTTTATTATATTCATCGACCAACATTTGGTCATGTTCTTGAGGTTTAATTAAGTCATGTCCTTGAGGTTCTTGCTCGGATTTGACTTCATTATTTTTATTTTCAACTGTGATGCCATTACCACTTTTCTGCGCCTGAACTTCTTGAGCATTAGATTCTTGTTGTTCTTCGCTTTTCTTACGACGTTTATTACCAGGTTGTTCTTTAACAGATTCTTTAGCTTTATTACCAGAAACATTTTGTTCAATTTCATCACCTTTAACAACATCTTTGTCATTACTACTTTCCTTAGTAGAAGGGGTTCGTTGTTCTTTGGTATCGGATTTACGTTTTCTGCCACTTCCGGCTTCTTCTGCAATTTTTGCGGAAGCAATTGCCGAAGCTTTTCTTTTTTGTTGTGGCATATTAAGTTTTGGAATCCAAAATTATCAGATGGTTTGAATAAAGAATAAGTTCAGAATGAGAAAAAAAAAAAATTATGAAATTAGAAAATAATAATAAAATAAAAAAAATGGGGAATCGGAATTCAGTGAATTTATACATTTTTTTAAGTGATATCATTGTGATAAAATATATTCAATTGTAAAAATTCTCTTGTATTGATCAAAAGAGGTCATATATGGACTTTAAATTGGTCCCCGGAATGTTTTTCCCATCTTCGGAAAAATGCAAAAAATTGATTTGCCATATGGAGTACACCGAAGTATTATTTTAACTAATAATAGATTAAAAAGACACATCTTAGACTTTTATGAATTGTAGAATAACATTAATATAAAAAATCTTTTAATACTGAATACGTGGGAACTTGCATTATATTAATCAGGATCGGGAATTGTTTGAACATGGGTCCCTGATCCAAAACAAATATGATATTACATCACTAAAATTAATAACAAATATTTAATACCGATATTCAGATTAACAATGCGTAAGATTTTTTTATAGTAAATAATATATATATTACAATTTTAATTATAATTAAATCAATTATAAAAATATATAATTATAAAAATTAGAAATCTAAAGAGAATAAATTATATATCTTAATAATTTTTTTATATTTTAATCTATTTCTTTTATATTTAAGGTTTAAATCCATAAACTTAGATATAATTTATATTTTTATATATTCTATAAATTTACTTATTTTTAAACTTAATATTTAAAATACAATTTGTAACTTATATATAAAAATAATATATCCAATTTTAACATTTTAATTTTTTAATAAATATATAATTATGAATTAAAAAAAAATATCATAATTAATAATATTATATATATTACCAATATAAAGATTTCAGATTTATAATAATTTATTATAGTTATAATTATACTTAAAATATTAATTATATTAATTAAATATATATATAATATATAAATATGATTATTAATTAATATTTTTTTTAAAAAAAATATAATTAAAAATTTAATTATAAGTATATTAATTAATTACAGATAATAATTTTTATTTATAGAATATAAATTATATAAAAATATTTTTAATTTATAAATGTATAATTATAAATTTATAATATTATTTATATTTTATTTTAAGCAACAATTTGTTTTATATAATTTTTATGCAAAAAATGCATAATTTTTTTTTTATAATTTTATTATATTTATACAATATTTTTCTTAAAATAATATTATTCATTTAATTTAACCAAAATATTTTATATATTTTAACTAATTAATGATTAAATTTTATAATCTAATCAGAAATTTGGCTGATTAAAACAAATTTTTTTGGGTCAACCAAATACTAATACTATTTTAAATTATTTAAAAATATAAAAATATTAAAAAAAAACTCTTTTTCTTTAAATTATATTTTTAAAGAAATATAAAACCTAGTATAAAAATGTTTTTATTATTTTTTTACAAATCCATATATTTTGTCTTTTATTATTTTTTTAAAAAAAACCCCAATATTTTAAATAAAAATGTGTTAGTAATAGTAAGAAGAAGAAATATTATCTAAAAAATATATAATAAAAAAAATATTAAAAATTAATTGATTAATAAATTCATTTTTTTTATGAAAGTTGATTATATAATTTATACTATTTTTTTGTAAAGTTAGTTATTATTATTATTATCATCATTATCATTATAATTTTCTTTTCTTTATGATGATTATAGTCTTGACAATAATTATAAGTATCTTTTAATACTTTCTTTTATTAAACAATTTTCTATTCTAACTTGAATTATCAGATTTTTTTTTTGAATTATTATTATCAATATAATAATTAATATTATTCTAACTGCTAAATAACAAATTACTTTATATACTTTTTTTATAATCTTTGATAGAAGAATTATATCTTGATTTTTATAGTTAGTTTTGAAATTAACTTTTAAAGATACATATAAAAATGAACTCAAACTTTAAAAAAATAAAAAAATAAAAATAAATATTATAAATAATATAATATTTATAATTTATTTATTCTTATCAAAATGTTT